ACAATTACATTTAAAAAACCACATACCCCATCGAATTCTATGAGAAATTCAGTTTTTAGACGTCTACTGGCATCATGTTCTCCTTCTCTTCTTTCACACAAAAGGCTATCAACTTCATCTAGAAGACAGAGGAGGGAGACCAAACCTGACCAAAGGTTGGTTACAGGGCGCAGGGGAAAGAGTTGTTGCGTATGGCATTGCATTTATGTCAATGGCAGATTAATTCGGAAAAGGATACTAAGAGTGCTGCACAGCACCAGGAGTATTATCAATGACACTGTATTGTAAAAGTATAAGGTGTGGAATTGGAGAATGTTCTATTGTGTATATTTTTGCCACAATTAGGAAAAAATTACATGAACAACAATGACAAAGATGGAAATCTTCTAGAATTAAATATGACAAGGGTACAACTCTTCTTGATATAACTGAATTATTGAGTTGTATAATGTGGGAAAAGTACTAATAAAACTGTTTAAAAAAAGAAATAGGGTAAGATTTTTACATAAGGTCAATCTATGGAAGTGATTTTAATCTTTATCACTCTAAGTTAGATAGTATTTATCTCTCAATTATTAGACAGTATTTAACGATGACCTTTTAAACTTTCCTTCTGAATAATCTTTCCTATCATAAACTCAAAAAAACCCAATATCAAAAACACTACCAAATTCACTACCATCAAGTTGATTGATGACAATTCATAGCACCTCTATAAGAGAGGACAAGTGTGAAATGTCATGACTAAGTCTTTGTGGGAGTAGAAAGCCCCACCTTTCTCCTGCGGAGTGGCTCTGAACTGCTGATCGTGCAGTAGAGTGCATAGCCACTACGCCACCTCTCATACTTAGAATGGAGAATTTCATGAATACTCAACTTCGGGAAAACATGTTCTCACCTATAAAAATGATAGAAGGTTGAAGTTCTCGAGCCACAGCAAAAAGAGCTCTCACCAGTTTCTCTCCTTCTCCCACCTGAAACAGAGCATCAGGCAGCATCACTACACAAATAAGAAACCTTATTCCAGCTTTCTCACTTCATAGGCTCTCAGTTGAGAACCTAGGATCAAATTGTCCTTTATTACAGCAACTGACAGTTTGCATATTTCGGAGAAAGGGAATTTGTTTTTCCAACTCAGTGGTTACTGAGTTGCCCCTTTATGACAGTGGTTCTCAACCTTCCTAATGCCACAATGCTTTAATACAGTGCCTGATGTTGTGGTAACCTGCAATCATAACATTCTTTTCTTTTTCTTTCTTTCTTTCTTTTCATAACATTATTTTTGTTACTACTTCTTAACTATCATTTTGCTACTGTTATGAATCAGGCAACCCCTGTGAAAGGATCATTCGATCCCGCAAAGGGGTCACGACCTATAGGTTGAGAACCACAGCTTTATGATATTAGTGAACAGATTATATACTAATAATTTAATACAGCTAGGTAAGTACTTTAACAATGAAATATATTTTTGTTTTGCTCTGCATTCAAAAGAGTTCAGAATCGAATACATTCGGAATATAACTAGTGAGAGGAGGAAAGACTAGGAAAAATGAAGAGAGGCTCACATATTTCTTCAGTGTTAGATTGCACAGTATATTTGTGGAAGCAAGTTGTAAAGTTTGTTCCTAAGCAAAACTTGCCTTGTTAAGAACACGTAGAACACCTGTCCTCACAATACCAGTGTTAATAATATGAAAATCTTCTGAGGTAGTTCAGGAGATCCATGCATACCTCTCAAAGCATCCCTGGGTTCCACAAACACCATAATATGCCTATCCTGAGGGGCTGGCCCCAATCCTTCAGAGGACAGCACTGAAGCTACAGCTCAGGGAGAGGGAAATTTCTGATCAGAGCACACGGGAGCAAATAAAGGGGGAAGAAGAGCGAGTGAAGCACATCCTGGCCCACCAAGCCTCGAGGACAATATCCCTGCTCAGAACAGCCAATGCACAGAGACGATCATATGTCCGGCCCCAGTATGAGACACGACGTCCCTCACTGAAGCACAGCCCTACAGGACACAACACTGGAGACACAGTGTGGGAATTGCGCCCAATCTGACCCCACCACACCTAGGCAAAACACTGAAGGCGTGCAACAGAACAGCAAGGGGA